GTTGCAGCCTCCGAGCCATAAGCCCCTGTATTGCACCTAGTAGGCTATTTTAGTATCTGTGTCCTATTGGATTTTCGCTTAACGTAGTGGTGCGAAATGTAAGTGGGGTGAGATACCTAAGAAATGGGGATGGTAACTCGTGAAGCGAAATTGAGCGGATCACACTAGCTCATTCAAGGTTCGAAGTGGACTACACGTCGGCCCACAGGGTACATTTAAACAAATACTGTTTTGTGCAACAGCCGTAGCTGCAGAGTTATCGGACATCCTATTTAGTAGAAGAAAGCATATAGTAGAGCCGAACACATATATTCAAACAGAAATTGGAGATGTTGAGCTTTGACTTGGCCTAAGTTCCAGCACAGTGACTTCAAAAGTAAGCCCCAATCGTTCAAGTAACCGAATAGACAAGCTATGACAATGCCGCCATTTGTTATTTGTTATTATTTGTTTTTAGCTGGAATCTGATTATAACATTACTTATCGAAAAATTGGGCCGCTACACCAACCCAAAGCATGATATAGTTTATAACTCGAGTAATTGGGCGTTCGGCCTTCTCTAAGGTCATTTTCTTCTAATGACTACCTAGCCAAATAGATGTGTTGATTCTAATGAGGTGATGACGGAATCGGGCACAATTGCGAATTTAGTGATAAACTGTTTCGCAAAGCATGCAAGGTCCTCCTTAAATTAGAATGTTGTTTTATGCGAAACTCGATTTCGCTCTAAATATCAATACCAATTTCCGTTTACCCAATCCATCATCTGTTGCCACGGTTGCTGTTTGTCGCTGAAGGTCGTCAGTTAGGTTGATTTGTGAATGGGTGATAGGATCGTTTTGGAGTCGCAGCAGCGCTCCCGTGCAGTCATGAGTGGAAAGGACTTAACCGATCATAATATGGTAGGTTTAGAGTTTGGTTCAATCCTTTATGCGTGCTGATCGTTATTAGTGCGTATTAAGTAATCAAGCTCGTGAGACTTATGATAACACAGTCGACTTAGAAATACCGAGCGTTAGCGTCAACACTGCGACATAACATTATTTGTGGACTATTTTGTTATTGTACAGGAATTTGAATGCTCGCTTCATGTTCTAGTCCTCGACCACATTGGACATGTAAGAGGTCGCCTAGATACATACTCGAGATTACGTCCGCCGAAGATAGTTTTATTATTTAAATAATGGCAAAGCATCGATATTCGACTATTGTTTTGAATGAGCATGGGATGCTTGTCGATGACTCTTTCATCATCTTTGCGACGCTAGTTAATTATTTGTGTTTTGCCTCGTGTTTCTCCTCTTAACCGGGTTCACCATCTTTTTGTTATTCATGCATTAGGTGTCTATGAGCCGTGCCTACTTATTAACTGTTGGCTGACTCTTTGATTTATAGATTCGGCAGGTTTTGAGAATCTGTCAGAAGATTGAATCTCAGGTTGCCTCATTAACTAGGCTAGAGGCGGAGAACAATAGGTTAACTGCATCGTTAAACCACGTTGAGACAAATTTCCTCACGCTTTTGCGGACAAGCCAGATCGAGATCGCGAAACTGAAACATAATCCTCAGAACACTGCGAAAAGGCGGGTTTGGATTAAGGTTTCTTGTTGGGTTGCTCTGTTATCATTCAAACTTTTTGGGAAAATCTGATTTTACCCATTCTTCACGCCTAATTAGCTTTTATCAATATGTAATATCAGACCCTCCGCAGTCAGTCTTCTGCGCTTAGTGAACGTGTTTCCTCTCCTCAATAGATTCTTGCATTTGTTTTCAGTTGTGCACACAGCAATCATAGGAGCAAAGGCATAAGTACACTTGATCCACGTCGAGTAATTGACCATGAGGATCTGATTGAGTGCCTTCATACACCTCTGAACTGCAAACGCACGACAGACGGCAAGCACGTTGTCGGTTTGAGATGTGGAGGCCGAAGCTTCTCGCCCAGTTCGGCCTCGTCAACTGCTAGTTTTAGTTCTTCCAGTAGTTCTCTCTCCTCATCATCTGCGTCAGCTTGTCAGAAACAGCCTCGTTCATACCAGCTTCGACATTCGCTGCCTCTACCCACCTCAGCATCTCGTCGACCCTCGGATTTTGTTAGTTCCCTCAATTCTCCGAGTGGATCTCGAAACCACTTCTCCGCCGAAAATGACCATGTGCTTTCTCGAAATTATAACTCCTCGAGTTGTTTGGTTTCTAAATCACGAGTCTCTATACCTTTGGAGCCCGCCCTCTCTGCTCCTGTTAGCGAGGTTAAATTGAGGGAGCCAAAAGTAACAGAGAGACACCTTAAACCTACCATGGCAGGTAGGCTTCTTCCACTTTTTTGTCAGATCTAGTTTGAGGTTCTTTGTTACTACTCTTCCATTTATCAATTCAGATGCGTCAACAGGGATTGAGAATGGGCCCGGGGCTCATCTGATGCGTCTTGTGCGGGCCTCTATCCGTTCGTCCCGCGAACACCATTCTGCCTCTGTGAAGTTCGCTCCACCCACAAGAGGAAAATGCCTAGATGAGAGTGAGAAAGCCATTGTTGATGCTTATTTTCGTAAGTACTCTGCAAATAGCACTATCACTTTGAATTTCATTTAATTTCTTCGGCGAAAAATCATTTTTACCTTATGAGTGAATTTAGAGGTCCTGGCATTTGTCGTTTTGTAATTGTGATGTGTCAAATTGTGCACTTCCCATGGCAAAGTGTTATTGGGTCTTAATCATTAATTGTATCCATCAATTAATGGCCTTTAGCATCACATTAAAAACCTGCGTCACTGAATCAGTAACATTGTGTATAGTATTTGAACAACTTTGTGATCAAGTTTTTTTCCCACCAGACGCTTTCAACTCTACCAATACGTTGAGATAACAACCGAAACATTATTGCATCCTAGGCAAGTATTGCACTACGGTTTGCTGCTTCGCATTTTTAAACGTATAAGTGGGTAAACGAAACTACCAACTGGACTTTTCGACTAAGGTAGAAGTTCACCTTTTGGTAATACGAACTTTAGCTTGTTACAACCACCAGCTTTTTTGCGTTTTCAGACGCAGAAGAGGAACGTTGCATGTTGGCTTCAAAGCGTCCTCGTAGCCATAGTCCTCAGCGCAGTCTACTCTTTTCTCCAACCCTGTTTGCGCGACGTCGGATGCTTAAACATAGCTCCCTCTGTAGTCCGGACCAGTCTTTATTGTGCAACATCAACGTCAACGTCAGTTCTAGAGCACCTCAGAGCACCAATGCTAATCATACGGAGGCGGCATTGAAGAGGTTGGGAAGCGCGTCCTATCCCGTTTCATCTGCTTCAGCTGCTATAGGTACGAGTGCGTCTCGTACTCCTGAGGGCGAGTCGAAGTATCATTGCGCTGACGGTGAGGGGACGGAGGTGAGGGAGAAAAAACAACAGCCAATGATGGATGCTAAGACGGAGGTGGTGGAGGTGACGGAGAGGGAGCAAGAGCCCTGTCTCGATGGACATGAGAGCCGCGTCGTCGACTCTCCGCACATAGAAATCGAGGACAACGTCTCTGAACTCGATTCACAGTGAGTGGAATGAACACTTTTTTTTTTTTGCATAATTTATTAATTTTCCTCTGTACCCAAGTTTTACGAGCGCTAAGTTGCCGCCGTTGTCGTTGTCATCTTTGAGATTCGTAAGAATCTGCAATTTACAGGAAATGAACGGGTGGTGAAAAGTTAACCACCATTGTAATTGACAGCTCACTACTATTGTTAGTAAGCTTTCTTGATACATCCATATAGCACATTTATTGACCGCTTGAACAGGTGAATCGTAAAGTAGTTGGGGTAAGCATTGCGTGCTATTTTTTACCCATTCCACAATCCTCTTTTTAGATCGCTTCTCTTGTAAAGTACATGTTGTTTGATTTTGCCAATGCTTCATTATTTAAAGCAATAAAAGTATTTGTTTGCAAGATGATACTTCTGTCCAGTCAATGTATGGGTTGAGCAACTGACTAATTTTGACATAAATATTATTGGAACAATTTAAATACCTACTCGACAATCATAACATGTGCTGTTGATGTGCTACAGTTTTTATAATGGGTTCACTTTGTGGCACCCTGTCACTTGAAGTGGATTCCGTGACAATTAACCTGAGACGTTCATGGGTGTTATGTTTAACCACAGTCCCGATGCAGGACAGGATGAAGCAATGTCAGAGGGTGAAGTGAATGATGAGGAAGACGATGGGATAGATGATGAGATTTGTGGCGAGCGGCCAAACAACAATAACAACAGTCACAGGAGGGTTCATCGCGGTGAGCACAATCGTGATTACCGGTGTTTGCGCCATCACACCGACTGCAGCACCGCTCTGCGCCACTCGTCACCGAAGTCGATACAGCATAAAACGCGCCATCGAGTTATTACCTCTCACGAGCGCCGTCGTAACGGTGAGGGGCTTGTGGAGTCGATGCCTTCGAAACGCTCCCGACGGCTCCCTGATGAGCGAGAGAGCTATGTGCGCTTCCGAAAATCACCGTCCAGACGTGTCCAAAAGCACCCTCGGATCTCCGTCTCTCGTCCACCTGTCTCTATCTCTTTTCGCCGGTTCCTCTCAACCAGTAGTGGAGGTGAGAAATTTGGGAATGTCATGGTACATCGGACCCGACATTCCCCAGCTTTTGTATCTCATCGCTCCTCCGATTTGGCATTTCGCAGCTCCCGCCGAGCCGCAACTCAACGATCATTCGTGCATCGACGATAGAGCGACTGTGCCAATTTCCTAGTCTTAACCTGCCTCTGTTGAGTATCCATTTTGTTGTTTTTCCGCTACTGCTTAGACACATTTCTTCATGTACGTCTCTTCTCAAACCTGTACAAATGGTTCTCAACTCTTAGTTGGTCTTTGCTTCCTTGCGTTCTTCAATTTCTTCTTAGTACTCGTATATTCGCAATGCGCCTTTTTTGTCATACTTGTTCGACGCGTCTATTTGGTTCATTGACTTAGCGACGGTATTTTTAAGGGAGCAGATCGGCCCCTTGGAAACCCAAGTTTCATTAAAACCGGCGTATGCAAAGTTGGATTTCGTAGCTCTCCAACTTCATTCAAGACCAATTTCCTACCTTTTCATACTACTCCCCATATTACCACCAAATATGATCCACATCTTAGTTGTGCGGACGGCTGTAAGTTTTTACTCTCCGTAGAGAGGTGCCCAGTGGTTACTGAGTGATTTGGGCATTTCATGGGGTCTAGAGTCCCACTTCCTACACCTCAACAGGATGGTTGGTTGTTATCTACGCCCGACCAATTACGAATGCCAACGAATGAGGTATGTTGAAATTGGTCTCACCATAATTTTGAGGGCAGAAGTGGCCATCTGGGTTGATAACGGGCATGTTCTGTCATCTCATTCAAAGCACTAATAGGTGAGATGCGAAGTTGCGCGATTCATCCCCTTCTAAGCAAGGAACAACGACTAGCCATCGGCGGAACCCTGGGAGCCTTTTCTAGATTACCTCAGTGAAGCCCTTGAACGCATTGGTGGCTTTGTCGTCTGCTCTCACACAGACACAATCCAGTTCACAAAGTGCGCAAGCCCTTAAGTCGGGCAATAAAAAGACAAAGTAATCGCACAACACTGACGCTGCTTCACTTACTCCTTGTGCCAGTGTAATCGATAGCGGAGAAGTGCTCTGGGCTGATTTAAGCACAAGAAAGTGCATAAATAATTGTACTAACAAGCTAGTGGCGTAGCAGTTAGACCAAAGTGAGCATGCTACCTCGGTGATCCTTACTAAGCCTGACTTCGATGATCTCTTCGGTCAATTCCATTATTGCGACTGATAAGTGAAGTTGCTTCAAACTATCTTGGTGTCTGTCCTTATCAATAGCTGAAAAGTAGTTCCAGCAACAGTTGAAAAGACATCTACGACATGCTTGAGTGATGCTAACGATGCTTGTTTCAACTATTGACGTCCATCAGGTCACATACTTTGTACGCGCCAGGGCAAGTGCAAACATGGCAACAAACATATGTGCTGGAGCAAGACCCTGGCCCCCATAATCTTCGACAAAGACTATTTGGATCGAAGGTCACCTGCAAGCCGCTCTTTAAAACTTAAGGGATTAAGGTTCTCTTTGACACGGATATGGAATGCCTTCGAACGAGGAAACCTTCGACGAAGT